ATTCACCACAGGAATCAAATTCAGAACTGGGTCCTGTCAGTTTCAAAGTCCAGAAGGCAGGTGCTTTGAAGAACTGAACTATTGCTTTTTAAGTCAGAGGGAAATATGACTTACGGAATAGCAGAGCAGCACTTGAAAGGGGGTAGCTGAGATATCAATGCAGAAGCAGCCTAGTCCAATAGATAGGCACAGGACTGGGACTTAAGGAGAACTGGATTCTATTCCTGGCTCTGCCATTGCCTCATTGGGTGGCCTTAGGTATGTTGCCTGATCTATTGAGTGTGTATTAATTATATTGATCAATTCGAAATCCCAATAACATTCTGTGGGTTGAGAGGGTCCTGGCTCCTGATCAGACCCAGAAGTATTAGAGTTATCACAATGATGAGAACCCTGGCGTGCACAGTGGAGACACTCACACTTAGGAAAGACCTTCTGTCTTTGTAATAGCAGCAAAGAGTCCTGTGGCACCTTATGGACTAACAGACGTATTGGAGCATGAGCTTTCGTGGGTGAATACCCACTTCTTCGGATGCATGTGTCTTTGTAATATTTTTATTAGCACTGTTAGCAATATCACAAACACTTCAACTCCGCGAAGAGGGTAGAAATAATATAAAATGAGTGTCTGAGCATCCATATACTCACACCATCTCTTGCAGAACAACCCAAAATGTTAGTAGTCATCCTCATTGTCATCCTTACCAGCAGTCATCGTCCTGGCCTCTTCCAAGGCACGCTGGCTGAAATGCAGTTTTTATGTGTTCAGCTGATTCCCACTGTGCCTAACGCATATTCAGTAGGGGTCTCAGCCCCTTTTCCTTGTCTGTATTTTCTCACCCTACTAAAGTTGGGGTGCTCTTCTCCCGTAAGTTACTAGGTCTTTTACCTCAACTTTATTAGCATATTCATCAATTAGTGACTATGGCATTCTTGTGGTTGGATATCTGCTGATGTTCCTAATTTAAAATATCTAAAGCTGGTATAAACTGACATCTTGTGGTTACCTGTCAGCAGTTTAGTCATACTCATTTATTAAAGCAGTCTGTCTTGTGATATCTTATTATTTAGGGTTACTCCTGGTTAGCTTTTTGGGCCTTAGGCCTTGATTAGTTTAGCTAAGCCAGGGGTTCTCACAATACATTTTTTGGTGGTCTCAGCGTGTGGCCACCAATTCTTGCGGTGGCTGCTCTGACAATTTTTCCTAAAATACTTAATTAACTTTAGGAAAAAAACAAATAAATGTGCACACATACACGTCCAAATCATTGTAATTTATTTATCTAATAGAAAGGTAGTAGGAAGTAGAGCTCCCAATTCAGTGCCCCCAGACTTTGTTCCTATTCTAGTGCTCGGAGGGTGTCACGGAGCGGGAGCCCCTCACCCTGTCGGGAAGCTGCCAAGCCCTGAAGCAGCCCTGAGCCGTTGAGCTACTGCGGTAACTACAGCATCTGTAAACAGGCAGAGGAAACACTGACCAGTCTCTCTGTCCCTGCCTCCCATGGCCCTTCAGTGAGACCCCACCCCAGGGAAGGTGGGTCAAGAACTCACTGGCCACCTGTGGAATCCTAGGCTCCGTGCCCAGATCGGGTGTGAGCAGGGGAGCTGCTTGGGAGTGCCTCAGCGATTGAATGCTGCAGCCACCTCCACTGACAAGAGCCACCTCCAGTGCCGTGTACACCAGCCCTATGTGTTTCCAGAGATGCTGCCTGGCACCCATGAGGAGGAAGCTGCGTGGTGCAAGGCCCAAATCCTGGCGGTGCATCTCGCTGCCCTTGGTAACAGCTATTCAGGAGCAACAGCTGGGCGCGGCAGGGAGGCGCCACTGCTTTGTCTCCTCCAAACTCCACCCACGTTTTGGAAGCTGTTGTGGTGGCAAAAAAATCCACTGGTGGCTGCATGTGGCCATGGTGCCCGCATTTGGAAAATGCTGAGCTAAGCTATTGTCTTACAGGCCTAGAGGCTTTTAGGCGCATTGCATTATGCCTTAACTTATACCTATGTCTTATCTACCAATACCTATAGGCTACAGGTAAATTGTTTAGGCCGTACTTTTTAAATATGGGTACCTCAAGTTAATCTGGACCTAAGTCCCGATTTCTCATAAATGTCAAGTTGTGCTATTTTTTTTACATGTGTAACTGGAAATTATCACTAGAGATATTCATTTAAATGAAAAAGTAAGTAAATAAGAGTGCATTTATTATAAAGGAAAATAAAATCCTGTTTCAGATATAAAAATCTATATCTAGAACAAGCAGTTTAGTGAAATTTTTACTAAAGGTGATAAAGCAAAGATCCTTTGACTGCTGTATGCGAACTAGTATATTTTTAATAAAGATTTCATTGTATGCCTAAATACATACCAATCCTTTAACAATAGGTTATAATAGCTCGTACTATCAAATAAAAGTTAAAAAGTCTATTTATGTACTTGTTGCTGATAATAATAATATAATAGCACTCATAATCTTCAAAATGCTTTTACAGATATTAATTAAACCTGTTTACATTACTGAAACATATTTCTGGGAGCTATTGTAAATTTTCAGTAGGTGACTTTTTAAATGAGGGGGACAAATTTTGCACTAGATTATGTTCATGTAATTCTGTGTTCTGCACTGAGGTTGTGCAGTTTAACTGAGGGCAGAATTTTGCCCTCATTTTTATGAAGATATGAATAATATTAGATTTTTATTAATTAATAATTTTAAAAGAATACCAGCAATTATTATTTTTATGGACCAACCTCTTGCCATATGTATTTTAAACCATATTAATATTTGAATTAAACAGATGACAGAAAGCATCCACATAAGATGAACTCCTGTGTTTTTTTTTTTTTTTTTTTTTTTTTTAATCTTTGAAATATAAAAGGATCTAATTAAAAAAGGAGAAAAGAAATAAAAAGGAAAAAATCCTACTCCATGGCTAAGCCTTTGTAGGCTATATTTTAGCCTGGCCTATGCCATAGAGCTGCCCATCTCCACTCACTGTGTCATTCTCCTAAACGAGGGGTGGCCAACCTGAGCCTGAGAAGGAGCCAGAATTTACCAATGTATATCGCCAAAGAGCCACAGTAATATGTCAGCAGCTCCCAGCAGCTCCCCCGCTTCCCCGCCTCCCATCCACTGGCAACCCCGCTGATCAGCGCCTCCCTTCCCTCCCCACACCTCCCGATCACCTGTTTCATGGCGTGCAGGAGGCTCTGTGGGGGAGAGGGGAGGAGCGAGGGCACGGCAGGCTCAGGGGAGGGGGTGGAGTGGGGGCAGGGCCTGTGGCAGAGCCAGGGGTTGAGCAGTGAGCATCCCCCGGCACACTGGAAAGTTGGTACCTGTAACTCTAGCCCCGGAGTCGGTGCCTATACAAGAAGCTACATATTAACTTCTGAAGAGCCACATGTGGCTCCGGAGCCACAGGTTGGCCACTCCTGTCCTAAACTTTGGGACAGTGTCCATCAGGTTTGACTTCCTGCAGCTCACATTAGTGACGAAAATGGGGCATTAAGTCAAAACTGGATGTAAAAAACAAGGTCTAAATATATCTATATGTAAATAGAGAGAACAGTTACATGGCTTCTTGTTTCCCATCTTGTCTGCATCCAGGTTAATGTAAGTGTGGGATTTTGGTTACAATAAATGTTTAGACTTTTTCAGGTGATTGAAATATATAAATCTGTCCTCTTTCCTTGCCCCAATGTCATCTAATGGGAGACAGAAAGGCATATTTCAGTCTTTTAGATCATATAATCAGTTATTTTTTACAATCCCAAAACATTTGCTCTTCTTTAAGGGCCTGATCCGATGCCCATTAAAATCAATGGAAAAACTCTCACTGATTGAATAGGTATCGGGTCATGCTCTAAAAGAGTAGGCTGTGTAGTCTGGAAATATGCCAGCTTTCCCCCATTATTACAGTTACCAGATTCTAAGTCTTCCTCAAAGTTTGCAAGGTAGCCTTCTGTATCAATAGTTTTACAACTAATCAATACAGCTCTGTATGCAACACTCACTTTTGCTTGTCAGTAACCTCCTAGCAGACACCAGGATGACTGATTCCTTTGATCAAAATGCTGCCAGCAATGTAACTTTAGCTAGCTGAACCCACAGTTCAGAGTTCCCAGGTTAATCTTTTCATGATTTCCAATTAGCCAAAGTTTCCTCATTCTTTATTCTCAAAGAGCATGCTCTTGAAAGGTGGTGGGTGTACTCAGCCCCCGTGATTTAAATGGGAAATTAATAGCACACTGGAGGAATTTAGCATCTCACATAATCAGATTGTAAATCATCTACCCTCTTGTGCAGTGCATTTTCTTTCATTATTTGTTCAGAGAGAATTTGATATCCTGATGGACACGTTTTTACATTGCAACTGTGTATTTACACATTCTAGAGCTTACCTTCAAAAGATTTTATCTTTGTTTCTACAATATGATTCCAGCAAATTATCCAGTCATTGATGTGTAAGAGCAGTGCTCTTGCTGAGGTACTTTTCAGTTCTGCCAACGCACTTTCCCATCTGATTTCATATGGAGCCATGTTGGAGGCAACAAGTGTGGTTCCCTCGCAGGCTGATGTTTAAAAGAGGCATCTTTAGAGATCGGAAAAAGGCTCTGGGCTTGATCAAAAGCTCTTTGAAGTCAATGGAAAGATTCCACTGACTTCAGTGGTCTTTGGATAAGAGCCTAGCTGGGGGTATGATGAACCAGATATTTATGCTGAAACAACTGAATCAAAACTAGGAGTAAAATTTTCAAAAGTTGCTAAGTCACTCATGCAAATTTTACCCCAAATCTGAGCCTAAAATAATTAACATAATTGAAATAAAGTACTGCATTTCATTGCGCTTATTTATATAGTACCTTTACTAAAATGTATTTAGCATGTTTGTAGAATTCCTGCCATTTATTTAGTAATTTGTAATCATTGCTTTCCTATGTGTTAATGTAGGAGGAAATCCCAGTACAATTTATTTTTTACCTTTTTCATTTTCTTTTTCAGGTGAAGTTTTTGTACTAAACGATGGGGGAGAAGTTGACTTAGACTTGGGAAATTATGAAAGATTCTTGGACATCAACTTATATAAAGATAATAACATCACCACTGGAAAGATCTATCAACATGTAATCAATAAAGAAAGACATGGAGATTACTTGGGAAAGACAGTTCAAGGTACTTTCCATGTAGTTTAAATTCATGTAGATTAGTTGAGTTTCTAATAAAGACTGTTTAGAACAATTACACGGGTAACTTTTATTCACTCAGAGGGATACTGACATATTTGCATTATTGGATTAATGTGAATGAAGTGGTCACTTCAAATACTTTCCTGGATTTATGACAATTTTGTTGATAAATTGGACAACTGAAATTGTAAATTAATTTAGGTCAAAGACAGTATGAGTACAGTAAGTAAGTGTGCTGAAGCTGCCTATTCTTCTAGTTGAGCACATCATTCTGTCCTCCAGATGATCCAGGAGGAGTTTGCTTCCCATTTGCATTCCAGTAATCAAGTTTTACTTGCATATATGTTTACAAAGAGCAAATTTCAGTTGCAGCTATAAATATTCAGGAACATCCTTTTAAATTTGCATGCAGTCATTCACATTGGACGTGCTGGCATGCTCATCCATTCAAGTTTCAGAGGGGGCATACTGCAAGGAGCAAGTGCTCTTTGCTGCCTTGACTCAACCCTTCTTCCTTGCCAACAAGATTTGGCCATACTTTAGTCTTCTGGAGGGACTTCTACCCCCTTTCATTCCACCAGCTCAATTACCCCACTGGGTTTTTCTCTCCTCTCTAAGTAGGAAGCAATATGTGGCCCTACATTAGGAAGTGCTTCCTTTTTTCATTTTGCCTTGCAGTTGTTCCACACATTACTGATGTTGTACAAGAATGGGTGATGAATCAGGCAAAGGTTCCTGTGGACAGTGACAAGAAAGAGCCACAAATATGTGTCATTGAGGCAAGTATGAAACTTCCCATCTCTGCAGATGTAATCCATGGGGTTGGTTATGTGTGATGAATAAATAGAGCTTACTTTTCCTCCCTTGTTTTGTGTTGTGTATATATGTCAGACTGAGTTGATATGGATAGCAACAACAAAGACACACAAATGCTGTATGGTCCTTGGCGTTAATTCTGAGTATGTTATGCATGGATTCCTCCCTGTGACTTCCACTAATGTGATTAAATCCCCATGCAGAGCATTGAAACTTGCTGAAGATTGGCTCCTTAGGAGCCGATTCTCTCTTAAAGCAGCCAGTCAGTGTAAATAAGTTCTTCTTTGAGTGCTTGCTCATATCAATTCCAGTTAGGTGTGTGCGTGCGCTGCATGCACAGATGTTGGAAACTTTTCCCTAGCAGCTACCCGTCAGGCCGGCTGTGGAGCCCCCTGGAGTGGTGCTGATATGGTGCTCTATATATGACCCTGCCAGCTCGACCCGCCCCTTCCATTCCTTCTTACCGCCAGTGACGGTTGTTGGAACAGTGGTCTCTTGTTCGCAAGTGCTCCATTACTCCCTAGCTACTCTACTTATCTCTGTGTATAGTTACCCTATTGTTAGTTAAGTGTTAGATTTTTGTTATCTTCAAGTGTTAACAACTATACTTAACACTAAAGGGGTTTCCCCTTTCAACGAGTGACCTACGGGGCATGCCATCCCAGGACTTCAAACCTTGCAGTTCCTGCGGCAAGCCCATGCCCATGGGCGACCCCCACGACTCCTGTCTTCGGTGTCTGGGAGAGGCCCATCAGGCGGATAAGTGCAGGATTTGCAAAGCATTTAAACCTCGCACTAGAAAGGAGAGAGACATTAGACTGAAACAACTCCTCATGGAGTCTGCCCTTCGTCCGCCTCAAGACTCGGCCCTGAGCGCCTCAGTGTGGAGCGCCCCTTCAGTGGTGCCGTTTGCAGAGCCGAATAAGGACTCGGCATGCCCCTCTAAGGCCCGACGGTCTCCCGGGGCCCAAAAGAGCTCTCCCCGGCACCGCTCCCACTCCCCGGCCACCCGTAAGAAGCAGGCCACGGAGAAGCCTCCACAAAGGCCTGAGGCGGTGGTCGCACCCCTGGCAGGGCACGGTGCGGACCAGGAACATAAGACCGACATGCTTCCCAGTAGTCCTCACCCTACACGGGCCCCCGCCCCCCAGGGAAGCCCTGCATCGCCGGACTCCCCACAACTGCAGGTCGAGGAGGTCACGCTGCCCCCCACGCCCAACACCTTTGAGGCAGCCATAGGGCTCATTGAGATGACGTCGCCCAAGTCCCCGGTCTCGAGGCCTACACCATCTCGAGCCCCGGCACTGCCAAGAGGCGAACTGGTGTTCTTTGGGCCGTTGGCCCCCAGACCAGTATCACCGCTCCACTCTGAGTCCTGGCACCGCACCCATGCTACACGCCGGTTTGACTCGCGGCCACGGTCTGACTCGCAGCACTGGTCCCACAGCCCTGATCCTCGGAGCCGCTCCCGCTCGAGGGGGTCATCAGCTGGCAGGTCGTGGTCCCGCTTGAGGTCCAGGTCAAGGTCTGAGACCTTGCGGCACCGCTTGAACCGACACCGCTCCACACAGCGACACCGCTCCCCATCGCGGCACCGCACCTCTCCGAGACACCGTACGCAAAACCACCGCTCTCCGGCGTGGCACCGCTCTCCGTTGCGGCACCGCTCACCGGCTCGGCACCTTTCTTTGACATGGCACCGATCACAGTTGCAGTCCCGTGGCCGATCTCCACTGAGGCAACGGCACCACTGGTCACCGTCTGGATCACGCCACTCCACATGGCACCCATCCCGCTTGTCAGGGGACGCGGAACTCCCCCTCGCACAGCGCACCACCCCTCCTTGGCCATCCTGCTTCCAGTCACCCTCCCTCAGGTTGAGTAGGGCATCAGGGGCATCGGAGGTACCTCGATCAGGCCCGGGCATTATCGGATGAGACACTTCAGCGCCCCAATGGCAGTTCTGGATCCCCTGGGCGTACCACCAAGCCCAGGGTGCTCCTCCAGGCGTCCCTCCACCTTCACGCTCTGGGTCCTGTATTCCCGAGGCAACCATCAGTTGTCCTCCTCCAGATCCCATTCAATCGCTGGACCCAGCCCCACCCCTGGTGGAGACTAAGGGGCTGTTTTGGACCTGATCCTGCCGGTCACTACCTCCTCGTCTTCCCCGATGTGGCAGTGGCGGGTACATCTACAACTGTCCCTCCATCCATGGACTATTGGGCTTTAAAGGAACTCCTACGGCGAGTGGCCTTAAATATGAATCTCTAGGTGGAGGAGGTAGTAGAAGAAGAGGACCCCGGGGCGAACATTCTGACACCGGAAGGGCCCTCTAGGGTGGCGCTGCCCGTTATAAAGTCCATCCAGTCAAATGCCAAAACAATCTGGCAAACTCCGGCCTCCATTCCTTCCACGGCCAAAGGGGCCGAAAGAAAGTACTTTGTCCCCACTAAGGGGTACAAATACCTTTTTACCCATCCCTCCCTCCCCCCCGTGCTCCCTGGTGGTGGATGCGGTAAACGAAAAAGAAAGGCAGGGCCAGCAAGGGCCCGCCCCTAAATCAAGAGACACGAAACGTCTGGATCTCTTTGCGAGGAAGGTTTATTCTGTCGGTGGCCTCTCCCTACGGATTGCTAATCAGCTCGCGATCCTTAGCAGATTTAGTTATAACTCCTGGTCTGCTATCCAAAAGTTCAAGGAGCTCCTCCCATCGGACTCTCGGCAGGAGCTGGGCGCCATTGCTGAGGAGGGCAGAATAGTGTCCCGGGTTGCTCTTCAAGGCTCCCTGGACGCCGCGGATGTGGCGGCACGTACGCTGGCATCTGGTGTTGCCATGCGGCGTAACGCCTGGCTTCAGTCTTCGGGTCTTCTGCCAGAAGTTCAGCAGACTATTCAAGACCTCCCGCTTGACGGTCAGGGGCTTTTCTCTGAACAGACCAACTCTAGGTTGCATAGCCTAAAAGATTCAAGGAACACAATTAAGTCTCTCGGCATGCACACCCCGGCGACTCAAAGAAAGCCATTTAAACCCCAGCCCTCCCAGCAGCCGTCTTTCCCCACTAGACCCAGGCAGGACTTGGTAGGAGGTAGTAGATACACCAGGCGCAGACCATCGCGTCCTCCCCCAGGGCAGGGCCAGGGACAGTCTAAAGCCCCTCTGGGCCCTAAGCGCCCATTTTGAAGATGCACACGAGAATGGATTACCAGTCCATACCCCGACCAGTCACTCTCCCTTTCTGAACCGCCTATCCCGCTTCTACCGTGCATGGTCCCTTATTATATCGAATTGGTGGGTTCGCCGCACGGTAGAGACGGGCTATTCTATCCATTTCTGCTTGTCCCCGCCCTCCCACCCCCCTTACCCGTCCCTCTTCAGGGACCCCTCTCACGAGCAACTCATCCAGGAGGTCCAGTTCCTCCTAGCTCTAGGAGCAGTGGAGGAGGTACCTCGGGAGCTCAGAGGCAAGGGCTTCTACTCACGCTACTTCCATATTCCCAAGGCAAAGGGAGGTCTACAGCCCATCCTGGACCTAAGGGAACTCAACAAGCACATAGTCAACTCAAAGTTCCGCATAGTCTCCTTGAGCATGATGATCCCCTCCCTGGATTCAGGAGATGGGTACGCCGTCCTTGATATGAAGGACGCTTATTTTCATGTTTCAATCAATCCGTCTCACAGACGTTTTCTCCGTTTCATAGTAAACAAGGTGCATTATCAGTTCACGGCTTTCCCGTTCGGCCTGTGCACGGCTCCTCGTGTCTTCACCAAATGCATGGCAGTCGTGGCGGCCTTTCTTCGCTGCCACCACGTGCACATTTACCCATACCTAGATGAGTGGCTCATGCGAGGTCGATCTCGTCAGCAGGTAGAATCGCAGATACAATTGGTCAGAGACACGTTCGACTGCTTGGGCATTATTCTGAACATCAGCAAGTCTGTTCTTGCCCCAACACGAACAATAGAGTTCATTGGGGCAGTCCTGGATGCGAACCAGGTGAGGGTGTTCCTTCTAGAGGTCCGTCGTCTAGCCCTCGCACAGGTAATTATCAGCCTTTGCAACTTTCCCACCACCATGGCGAGACAGTGCCTCAAGCTGCTGGGTCACATGGCGTTCTGCACCTACGTGGTGCAACATGCCAGGTTGCGGCTCAGGCCCCTGCAGGTGTGGCTCGTGTCTGTGTATTGCCCGGGCCGCGACAGTCTGGACATGGTGCTGACCATCCCAGGGCATATCCTCAATTCCCTACGTTGGTGGCTGGACCTCCGCATGGTAAGCGCCGGGGTACCATTCCACCCTCCCCAGCCCACTCTGACATTGGTAACGGATGCGTCGGTGCTCAGCTGGGGAGCACATCTCGGGAGCATGACGACTCAAGGCCTCTGGCAAGTAGAGGAATTGGCCCTGCATATCAACATCAAAGAGCTCAGGGAAATCCGCTTTGCGTGCCAAGTATTCCTGTCACAATTGCAGGGCCATTGTGTAGCGGTGCGTACGGACAATACCACGGCCATGTTTTATATAAAGAAGCAAGGCGGAGCTCAGTTGTCTCCTCTCTGCCACAAAGCCCTCCTGCTATTGGAATTTTGTTTAGCCCACTCCATCCTTCTCCAAGCTTCATACCTGCCTGGCGTTCAGAACGTACTGGCGGACAGCTTAAGCAGACGGTTCCTCACACACGAATGGTCGATTCGGCCGGATGTCATCCACTCCATCTTCTGCAGCTGGGGGTTTCCCTGAATTGACCTGTTCGCCACGCTGGCCAACAGGAAGTGCCCAACCTTTTGCTCTTTCCGGGGTCACAGCCAGGGCTCGATTGCAGACTCCTTCCTGATTCCTTGGTCCGGTCAACTACTATACGCCTTCCCACCATTTCCTCTCATCTACAAGGTGCTTCTCAAGGTCCGCAAGGACAAGGCGGACGTCATCCTGGTGGCTCCAGCTTGGCCTCACCAGTGCTGATACCCCACCCTCATGGACCTATCGATCCGGTCCCCGGTCCGTCTACCTCTCACTCCCGACCTCATCTTGCAGAATCACGGTCGCCTTCTCAACCCAGACCTACAGTCACTTCATCTTATGGCGTGGAGGATCCATGATTAAACCAAGCGGAGCTCGCCTGTTTGGACCTGGTGAGGCAGGTGCTCCTGGAAAGCCATAAGCCTTCTACCAGAACCACTTACAAAGCAAAGTGGAAAAGGTTTTCTATCTGGTGCACCCAGCAACAGGTGCCCCCACTCCAGGCTTCGATTCCATGCATCCTGGACTATCTGGTGCACCTGAAAGATCAGCGCCTGGCATTCAGCTCTCTGAAAGTCCACCTTGCGGCTATTTCGGCATTTCACCCAGGAGTTTCCTGGCGCTCAGTGTTTGCACACCATATCGTGAGTCATTTCCTAAAAGGACTGGAAAAGATCCATCCTCTGATGAAGCCCCCCTGTCCTGGCCTGGGACCTTAATTTAGTCCTGTCTCGTCTCATGGGTCCTCCCTTTGAGCGCTAGCCTCCTGCTCACTCCTCTACCTCTCCTGGAAGGTTGCTTTCCTAGTGGGCATCACTTCGGCACGACGCGTTTCGGAACTACGGACCCTCATGTGCGAGCCCCCGTATACCATATTTCATAAGGACAAGGTGCAGCTTAGGCCTCACCCGGCCTTCGTACTGAAAGTTGTGTCCCGCTTCCATGTCAGCTAGGATATTTTCCTGCTGGTTTTCTATCCAAAGCCGCACCCCACCCTCTGTGAGCGGCAGCTGCATTCGCTGGACGTTAGAAGAGCACTCGCCTTCTACATAGACAGAACGAAGCCGTTCCGCAAAATAACCCAGTTGTTTGTTGCTCTAGCGGAGCGAATGAAAGGTTCGCCAGTCTCCTCCCAGCGGATATCCTCCTGGATCACGGTGTGTATTCACGCTTGCTATGGCTTAGCGAAGGTCCCTCCGCCTGTTGTCATAGCTCACTCCACGTATCAGCGGCCTTCCTGGCACACGTACCCCTCCAGGACATCTGCAGGGCTGCCGCATGGAGTTCGGTGCACACTTTCACGTCACACTACGCCATCGTTCACCAATCACATGATGATGCAGCCTTCGGCAGGGCGATTCTCCAGTCTGCAATACCTTGCCTCAGACCCCACTTCCGAGGTAAGGCTTGGGAGTCACCTAACTGGAATTGAGATGAGCAAGCACTCGAAGAAGAAAAAACGGTTACTTGCCTTCTGTAACTGTTGTTCTTCGAGATGTGTTGCTCATATCTATTCCATTCCCCCCCACCTTCCCCTCTGTTCGAGTAGCCGGCAAGAAGGAACTGAAGGGGGGTCGGGCTGGCAGGGTCATATATAGAGCACCATATTGGCGCCACTCCAGGGGGCTCCACAGCCGGCTTGACGGGTAACTGCTAGAGAAAAGTTTCCGACATCCGTGCATGCGGCGCGCGCACACACCTAACTGGAATAGATATGAGCAACACATCTCGAAGAACAACAGTTACAAAAGGTGAGTAACTGTTTTTTCTGGTGTATGTATTTTCACCTTTCCTGGGTTTTCACAAGCCATATACAGTGGATTCCAGCTACGTATACTGGGTTAACAATATTAAGGAGCAGGACTTAATTTCCTTGATGATTTCAGAAATCACGACATCATAGTCAGTAGAAGAACTCTTCAAATCATAGCTTGCAATCTTCAAACCAAGGATCCTGTCATGTTGTTCATGATCATGCTTTCAAGAATGTATCTAAGTACTTATGGATTGAGGTCACATTTTAGCTATTTTATTTTTAAGGTCTTGCAAAGCAGTATAGTCCCTCCTTTGTAAAGCACTTTGAGATGTATGGATGAAAAGCACTACATAAGTACTAGATGGTACTATTTATTATCATTCAAGTTTCAATGAAATTTCTGAAGAAGACATGTCTGGGAATTTGAAGAAAGAGTATTTAATGGGCTTTAAGGCCAGAAAGGACTATTATTATCATCTAGTCTGAACTCCAGCATAACGCAGGCCATAGACACTTCTGTACGAAGCTCATAGTTTCTTTTTGAACTATAGCATATCTTTTAGAAAGACAATCCAGCCTTGATTTTAGCCTAAGATTTCAGCTTGATCAGAAAGTTTCCACTATATTTATGAAGTGTAAAATATGGATCCAACATTTCCTTTAAGCTTAGAAAGAGTAATAAACAGAAAAAGTGCACAGGAACTTCCTTACATTAGATAGGGGTGAGGCTGTCAGTGATTCTTTTCTCAAAGTCAGGAGACTTTCTGTAGAGACCAAGACATACTCAAATACGGTTTCAAGGCTTTCAGGTTACAAATATAATTTTTCAGTTGCAAATTGTTGCAGTAAGTAGGTTTATTATATATGTGTCAAATCCAGTAAAGTGTGTGTGTGTGTGTGTGTGTGTGTGTGTGGTTTTTTTAAATTTTATTTGAACAAAAATGTGCAATGATTCCAGAGACCACAAGAGGGCACATCAGACCACATTCTGAGATAATTTTGCTTTTAAGGATCTTGTTGGAAGACTGTTTAAGCAGCTCCAATCTTTCTATCATAGCTATTGCTGAATACATTTTTTTATAAATTTAATTTATTCCTTACATCTGTCTTGTTCTGGCATAACATGTTTCTAATTATTTCTCTTTTACCAGGATGCCAAACTGGTGATGTGCAGTTTATCCCATTATAAAGCTGTGATAATAGCATTAGATGCCCTTTTCGCATTTACTTCAGTTATTAATTTAGAAAAAAGGAAACTAAAAACATTTTCATTCTCATTTACCAAATTGCAGTTTACTGTATTGATAACTTGTTCCCTACTACTTGATTCAAGAATGCAGGTGTCTCCAAGATACTGAAAATTGTATATAAAGCATATAGTTTTCAGTGGTAACAGACTAATTCTTGTGGAAAACTGTGCCCTCAGCATTGAAAGTGAATAAAATCAGCATTGAAAATGAGTAAAGTTTTCCACATGAAATGGCCTATGTAATGATACAAGATGTGCCTCCAGAACCATACATCATTCATTCTCCCTCTTACAACATGCACAACTGAGATGAGCAGTTGAAATTTTCAAGGCTGACACAGAGTAGAAATTTATTTTTTTAATTGTCAGAGCAGTAGTAAATTCTGGGCCTTCTTTTTCAGCTAGGTGGAACTATTGGAGACATTGAAGGAATGCCATTTGTTGAGGCATTCAGACAGTTCCAGTTTAAGGCAAAAAGAGAAAACTTCTGCAATATCCACGTTAGCCTTGTACCACAGGTAAATTAGTAAGATAATATATTTTAATTTTCAGTTAAGTTTTGCCATGTACTGCATTCTGTATCATTTTTTCAGGAGTTGTAGTGGAGGGGAGTCAGTGTTTTAAAGCTTAAAGAGACAATGGGTAAAATCCTTGCTCCTCTGAAGCCAGTGGGAGTTTTGCCATTGATTTTACTGGAGCCAGGTTTTTACCCAATATTCTTTAATAGTCTCCCTTTTAGTATTCCAGGTAATGTGAGTGAAGACTAATAATACTAACTCATCTGTAAGGCTACATCTGCTTTATAATGCTGAAAATTTTGTGTTCTATCTAACCATAACTTTTACACCAAAAAATAGATTAAAAGGGTTTTTTTTAAGTTGTAAATATTCATAGGCAAGTTTTTGGAAGGTAGACGTGGGGTACTGACGATACCACCATATTTTCCAGAATTTCTTTTGGATTATCTATATAGATAAAAAAGAGCATATTCTGTCCTGATTTACATTAACCCATTTACAATTAATTTCAATGGCAGTTGAATGTGTATATTTGAGGACAGAGTTGTGTACTAAATTCCAATCAGTTCCACTTGTGGAAGGTCATTGAAGGCGTGGCACTGTTTTGTAGCGTTTCCGAGCTACTACAGAAAGTCCAATTTTGGACATTTCTCCTCCTCAGTTCTGAGCCCTATACTCTCTATATACTGATCTAAAAGAGACAGTTGGCCTGAATTAGTGCTGTTTGGCTAGAAATTCCACAGGGTTTCTAATGCATGCAATAATACAGTGTTACTATTCTCCATTCTAACATATTGTGCTTTGCTTTGATGTATACTTTTTTCTCCTTGTCAATATCCTTACTTTTACTGACATTTCTTTGTTTTTAACTATAATTGTCCTGATACTAGAACTGAGTTACTGTTTCAGCCTTTAAAATATATGTTTCCAGCCTAATGCTACTGGAGAACAGAAAACAAAACCTACACAGAACAGTGTTCGAGCGCTGAGAGGCCTAGGTTTGTCTCCAGATCTGGTGAGTTCATAGGGTTATGATAAAATCTGTGTTTATAGGTCATCTAGATATATTGGTGCATGTAAATAATTCAAAACATAAGGCTCCAGTTCTTTCTACTCTGAAAGGGAATCTGTCTTAGGCCAGGTCTGCACTACACAATTAAGTTGGTTTAACTGTCGCGCAGGGGTATGAAAAGCCCACATCTCTGAGTGGTGTATTTAAACTGACATAACCCATGGTATAGACAGTGCTATGTCAATGGAAGAATTCTTCTGTTGACCTAGCTACCACCTGTCGGGGAGGTGGATTACCTATGCCAATGAGAGAATACTTCCCGTTGTCCGAGGTAGTGTCTACTTTGAAGTGGTACAGCAGTGCAGCTGCAGTGGTGCAGCTGTGCCGCTGTAGTATTTCAAGTGTAGACAAGCCCTTATGAGGGAGGGGAAGGAAGCAACTTGGACCATACCAGTGTACTAAAAACCAAAGAAATTAAACTACAAAAATGTACTGAATGTCAATATACTTTTATCTCTTAAATATCATGGGATTCTAGCTATGCTCTTCCCATTAAAGAGTCTTATAGCAAAATCTCTATACATGGCTTTAAAAATCTAGAGTTAAGGTTGGATCTATTCTGAGAGGAATGTGAGGCTGTATCATCAGTTTTACTAATGAATTCAGAAAAATAATCCATCATTTGAAAATATGTATCCAATTAAAATATGGATGTTGAGACAAACAATTTAACTATAAAATGTGTGAATGAATGTGCAAAGGTGTCGGATTATTTCCTCAGCCTGGCCACCTGTATCACAGGTGAAGCATGGGGTGGAAAACAGGCTCCAAAGAGCCACTGTATCCCTCCCCATGCAGGAGATGCCAGCACACTAACTAGCAAAGATATGCTTGTTTTCCAAATAAAATATGCTGCATTGTGAAGAAGCCTGTCATGGAGTACTTTGTCTTTGGAGCAGAGGGGAGACAGATTGCAATGATCTGAGCCAGAATCTGCTTCCTGGTCTGCTCTAGTAGCAGCCCTTTCCTTGGGGCTTTGGGAAAACCATAATATAGTTCTAAGGGCTCAGCTCTGCAAGGTGCTGGGCATTCCCTTAATGTCCTGAGCTCCTTCCCTCCACTGACTCTGTTAGGAGTCGAAGTTGTTTAGCACTTCACAGGAGTGTGTAGTATCTTGCAGTATCAAGCCCCTAGTAAGATATACAACTCTGCTGTTTGGTATAATTATGTTATTATACAATGACAATGTACACAAGTAAATATTATGTTCTGCCTTTCTTTTGTAAATTTTCTTTTTCCTGAACCTTTCCAAGAGATATAACTTTTTAGTCCATATGTTCTTCTGGTTAAATGCTACTGCTTCAGTCATAAAATACATCCTCGTATTCCGAATACCAATTAAGTGTAATTTGGTAGAACAAAGTTATTGAATTTTGTTCCTATCACAGGTAAATCAATAATCTCACTAATGAACATTGCAAAATTAATTAATCTGCCAGCACTTTGAAAGCCTGGCTCTTCGTGCCTTTCCCAGACAGAACTCCCACGGAGTGTTCCGGCTATCAACATTGTATTTGTGGCAGACTTGTTAAACTTTGCCAATTTTCTTTTCTAAAATCCAATAAATAAAAATGCACTTTCCGATTACCTTAATTTCTACAAATTAGAAGCCTCCTATCCAGCAGTGAGTGCCTCATAAAAGAAATGAATATATTTTTTATAACTCATTAAACTAAATATGTTTTGGTGGTTCATTATAAAAATGTTAATATTTGTATGTGTGGGGGAATCAGTTGTCCATACTAACTATAACAAATTTTAAAATTATATCTCATACATCACCTGAATGATTTAAATGTGGTAAGACTGAATACTGTTTGTTAAAAAAAATTAAAATACTGTCTATTTTCTGAAACAAAGGAAGAAATGTAAGATGCAAAAAAAACAAACCAACCCCAAAGAAAACACACACTGGCAAATTCCAAAACTTAAGCGTAATCTTTAAAAACAACAGTTGAGTCTAAGTCACAGTGAATTCACCTCTACGTATAATAAACAAACACATTAGTGTTATCAAGAATAAAAAAATAACTATATAATTATCACCCAGCAACCCTAATGCTTACTCAAAATAAATACTGTTCTGTCATTAGGAAACTCGAAAAATAAACAGTATGATGCAGTTTTGAAAAGGAAACAATTCTCTGCGTACACTTTAATGATCCATATCAATAAGCCTGTAATGCAAGGCTACCTACTTAATTTTATCATACATTAATAACATTACATAATTTTCATATTAAACTACATACACATTACTATCAAGAAAAAAGCAATTACAGGCATTGTACCAGTTTTTTTTACTGTTAATGGATAAATATATTAACCAATATTTCCCATTTAAAAATATCTATTCAAAGAAAATATTTAGCTACTGAAATCAAGCTAATAAAAATACATAAGTCAAATGTATAAATAAAAAAAGTCAAACAGTCCATAGGTAAGATTTATTACCTTAGCTACTCATTTCTTTGCTTTATTTTAGTTTTCACTATTAAAAAAACAACAACAGTGCCTATATTTTCACTGTAGGCTGTCTTAACATCCATTAGAATTCAGTTATCAAAATCCCTTCATCGTAACTGCAACATCATCAGTTTTGTAAAGGACATGATAGGTAACCACACTGTTGTGACTTAGTAACCTTAACTGGTTTTTGACGCAAAGTTTTCACTCGTACCCAATATTTTAAGATTTAGGGCCTAAATTTCAAACTCTGTGGCATGCAATTAACTTCAGACACAAAATGGGCACCTGATTTCTGGAGACAGTTAAAGTAATTGCCTGTGCCTTATTTTGAAAATTAGACTTTTAAAAACTATTGATTTTTGAGTGTGGAATGAAAGGAAAACAGATTAATGTAGTCACTTTCCCATATCCTGAGTTTAGGCATAAGAACAATAATTTTCCTACTATCTGTAGCTGTTGACCACTCAAACAGAGGGAGTAATCTTCTTCTTCTAAGCTGAAGAGCTTTGAAAAATGTCTGTTTGCATGCACAATGTCTATACATCCAAGGGACTCTCTCATGACATCTTGAAAAATTATATCTTGTCTGGTTGCCAATGCTGCTCCCTTGAATTATATAATTCCTACTGTGCACCTGTATTTTATTGTTTTGGGAAATATAAACCAGACGTTGTTACTATAGTTTTTTTATTTCCTGCTGTTGCTGATGCATTTAACTTTTATGACTCCATTAGCAATAATTTTACTGCAGCATGCAGAGAACCCTCAACTCCTGGTGTCACCCACTTTGAAGCTGTGTGTTAAGAATTGTAGACTTCTCTGTAATGTCTTGAACACACATTGTCATGGCTGATAAAGCCTAACTGGATATTCACCCACATTTAGATAAAGAGAATTTAAAAATTACTTGCATAATTCTTCTTTATGATTAGAACTTGCACTAGTTCTTTCTTTATGGCTTGCATTACATTTTTCCATACTGGAGTATCTATTTTGAGGGTAGGGGAAATAAAATTCAGTTGGTATGTATTCTTTTACTTAGCAAAGCGATCAAGGAATAAGAGCAAGTTTACTCAACAAAAAAGCTTTTAAAAATATAATCAGCACTTGCACACAAACAAATCAGAAATAGGCGGGAAAGGCATTCTATGTTTGTATAGTGGCTGACATCATGGGGACTAGGGATCCTATGTGCTATGGTAACATAAATAATAATTGAGAAATTAATCACTTAGTATCTGTCCTGGAAAAAAAAATCCTTGTTGGTAAAAATTGCAAATATTTCCACAAATTCCCAAATGTCCTGCTTTCAGCACAAAGGATTCACAGATATAAATACATCAGAAAAAGGGAATTGGAAAGTTAGAAAAGAAAAGAAACTCCTCTCTTTGGTCTATCGATCTTCTCTTCCAGGGACACAGATCAGCTTCCAGGTCCACTGGGCAGCAGTCAGGTGAATTACAAACAAACCAAAATGTGCTGTTAAGGTACTTGAAAGATAAAGAAAGTCATGTAAATAAACAAAGGATAACTGAAAAAAACACAACAAACTTGGTGATAATGTATCACACTTTTGACTCTCCTTATTCTTTGCTCTTTGGTGTGTTACTTAAATGGTACCTGAAGAGTAAATGAGTAAAGCATGAAAGAATAAAGAGTAGGGTCAGGAAGAAGTGGGGAATTGAGGAGGAGGGGAGAAAGGTAGCGTTGCAAGCAGAGGAAGCAATGTAAATATAAAAAGTAGAAAACAGGAAAGTAGGTGAATAAAGGTATAGATATGTTGGTGGAGATCTGATGTAGCTATCTCTTGTTAAATGGTATTATGATGGGTTGGATCACAGAAACCCCCTTGGGAACTGCCAATTGATGTGCCAAGACTACTTCTGCCCGTGCTTTCCTGCCCTGGCAGCTTAGGACTTCAGTGCCCTGCCTGGTTTGAGCCAGACCCGCTAGCCTGCTGCAAACCCAGACCCAGGGTCTGAACCACGTCCCCTAACAGCTGTAGGCTTAACTGAAAGCAACTTACAGAAGTGTCCCTGTCTTTAACACTCAGATGTCCAACTCCCAATGGGGTCCAAACCCCAAATAAATCCATTTTACCCTGTATAAAGCTTATACAGGGTAAACTCATAAATTGTTTGCCCTCTATAACACTGATAGAGAGATATGCACAGCTGTTTGCCCCCCCCCCCCAGGTATTAATACATACTCTGGGTTAATTAAGAAGTAAAAAATGATTTTATTAAATACAGAAAGTAGGATTTAAGTGGTTCCAAGTAGTAACAAACAGAACAAAGTGAATTACCAAGTGAAATAAAATAAAACATGCAAATCTAAGCCTAATACAGTCATACAACTGAGTACAGATAAAATCTCACCCTGAGAGATGTTTCAATAAGTCTCTTTCACAGACTGGACACCTTCCTAGTCTGGGCACAGTCCTTTCCCCTGGTACAGCCCTTGTTCCAGCTCAGGTGGTAGCTAGGGGATTCCTCATGATGGCTGCCCCCTTTGTTCTGTTCCATCCATTTATATATCTTTTGCATAAGGTGGGAATCCTTTGTCCCTCTCTGGGTTCCCATCTCCTCCTTCTCAATGGAAAAGCACCAGGTTAAAGATGGATTTCAGTTCAGGTGACATGATCACATGTCACTGTAAGACTTCATTACCCACTTGCCAGCACACAGGTATACAGGAAGACTTGCAAGTAAAACAGAGCCATCCTCAGACAATTGTCCTGGTTAATGGGAGTCATCAAGATTCCAAACCACCGTTAATGGCCCACACTTTGCATAATTACAATAGGCCCTCAGAGTTATATTTCATATTTCTAGTTTCAGATACAAGAGTGATACATTTATACAAATAGGATGATCACACTCAGTCGATTATAAGCTTTGTAATGATACCTTACAAGAGACCTTTTGCATGAAGCATATTCCAGTTACGTTATATTTAAACTCATTAGCATATTTTCATAAAATATAAAGAGTGCAACGTCACAGGTATTTATGTGACTTATGATATATTGTAGAACTCCCAGGAAAAAATTATTTGTCCAGACTGTTGTTTCTTGAGAGGTCAATCTTTTCCATGATTAATGTTGAGGAGCTTCCATTTACTTAGAGTTTTTTCCTATCTTATTTTTCCACACTTCTTATTTATGTTTTATATATGATGTATTTTGACAGATAGTCTGCAGAAGTACAAAGCCTATAGAAATGGCTGTGAAGGAAAAGATTTCCATGTTTTGCCATGTGGAACCTGAACAGGTTTGTAGTTTCAGATTTCATCTCTCCTTTTCTCAAACTATACAATTCTGATTTTTCTAGTTTTATACACCTTAAATATCTGAATGTATTTCTGTTTTTAATCTCCAAGAAATACTTGTTTCAATAATCCACTGATTTTTAAATTGCAAGTAATTATATGATGAAATATAAAATAGTCAATATATAAAATATAAACTACTCAAAAGTACTGGATATTGTTTACAATTTGGTATGTCAAATAGCCTTTAATAATTTGGTCACACTTACTACAAAGGATCCAATTATAGATTGTTTATGAAGGGTTAAGAATTAATAGATTTTTGAATACATGTTTAATCAGTTGTTATAAATTGTTAGAACAATACTTCAGAAGGTTGCTTGAAACCATGGTTTATAATAATCTATAACAGGTTTTACTGATGCATCTATAACCATGTATAGCATCCTCTTTATGTCTCTAATGCGCATATAACATTTACATCAGTTATTAATCCTCTATAAACTTTTTATAACAGCACCATTAACAGTGACTAAATTGTCAATGGCTCTTCAATACACCAAAATGAACATGCAAATACTATCCAATATTAAAGCTTTTACATGTTAGCAAGCATAATAGATTCATATATGGCTCGTGTAGACACCACAATTCTTCTCTGAGTGTGTCAGTGTGGCTCACATTGTAGGTGCGCATGCACTTGTTGCATATGAGACTGGAGTTTGTTTGAATAGCCGTGTTGGTCGGAGCCATGCATGCGCCCAGTGCTGCCTCATGAGAGCATAAGGGCCAGAATGGCCACAACCCTCCCTAAGTTCCTGCTTACCATTCATGGCCCAGACTTCTGCTCCAGAAGGGAGGGAGTCAACCGAGGCCCATTACTAGACGCCTTGATTCTTCTATGGCCTTGAGGACCTCTATATGCCTTTCTGCCGATTCCTCTGATTCCCAGGGGAATATCCAAGATTAGATGTGACAAGGCTGTGATCATCCCGATAGCCTCTTACTGGATGAGACAGTTCTGGTGTCAGATCTATTGTAGATGTCCGAAGTGGCCTCTTAGCCAGTTCCTAACCTGCCTAAACATATCATCTTAGAACCAAGGTCAGATACTGCACCCAGACTCTCAGTCATAGCACCTGATAGCTTGGTGGTTGGCTGGTTGAGCACTACTTGCAGAGACTGCTCCCTATGATTCAAGAAATTCTCAGACAGAGCTGGAAACTTTCCACCATGAAGACTTACGTCCTGAAATGGAAAAGATTTTCTGTGTGGGAAGCCCAAAACAATATGGACCCAATTGAGGACCTGGCACTGAAGTTCCTCAACTATATGTTGCTCCTGAAGCATGCAGCACAAGCATTTTACACTCTCAGGTTTCACCTTGCAGCAATATTGGTGTGCCATAATGTGGTACAGTCATACTCTAACTTCTCTCATCTGACGGTATTGAAATTCCTCCAGGGCCTCCTTGATACTTAAGCTCTGATTAGACACCAACGACTATGTGGGACCTCAGCATTATCCGCCTAAAAACTCATGGAGCCTCCTTTTAAAACACTGTTGGATTGCTCATTACACCACCTACCATCAAGATGGAGTCTCTGGTGGCCATCCCTCAGTGCAGAGGGTCAGTGAGTTCTAAGCCCTCATAGCTGGACTGCCTTTCACATCCTGCCATAGCGATAAAGTGGTGTTGAAATCACACCCCAAGTTCATCCCTAAAGGAGTCTTAGAATTTCACCTGAACCAGTCAGTCACCCTACCAGTCTTCTTCTCAAAGCCGCATTCGACTCTGGGAGAAAAGAAGCTGTATACTAGGATGTATCCAGAGCTTTGCTCAGTGACCTTAACAGGATCAAGCCTTTCAGGCTGAATCCAAACCTCTGGACATTTTTGGCCCATCAAAAGGCCAAGCCATCTTGTCACAGAGACTCTCTAAGTCAGTGGTTCCCAAACTGGGGTTCGTGAAATGTTATAGGGGGTTCTTGGGAAAAATTTCCCTAATGGCGGACAGAGCTGTCCCTAGGGAGAACGGGACCAGAAGCCCGGAGCCCCTGGACTTCCAAGAGCTAAGCAGATCAAAGCAAGCATCTCTATCACACTGAGGAGATTTAAACTTCAAGACTCCTTATAAGAAATGGAAAGGGAGGTGGATATTTTTTGCTGTTTTTAAAATTAAATAGGCAGCTAGTATTGTTTTTAAAATTATTATGAAGAAGAAGTTTAAGCTTTGTTTTAACATACATTGTTTGCCTGGACTGCTCAAGACCTGAATGCTTGTGTAGAAGGAACACTTTGAGTTGGCTTCTTAAATACCTTCATTCTGTTTCACATCTGACACTCCTTGATGAAACATAGGAGCCTTGTCTTATAACAGGCTTATTCAGAGCGATACAAGCTACGAAAGTGAGATCTTGGAAGAGTGTTGCCGTTTTCATAATGTAATAAAAATACTGTAATGATAAATAATAATTAATAATAAATAGTATGTAATAAGCATGTCATAAAAAATTTATATTTCCAAGATCACTACTTTTATAATTTATACTCAGGTAAAGGAGAAAATTCCTGGAAATATTCATTTTTAGGAGGGGGTTCGCGAGACTTGACATTTTAGTGAAAGGGGTTCACAGGTTGTTAAAGTTTGGGAACCTCTGCTCTAAGTGAATCACAAAGTTCATTTCCGCCTGCTATCAGATGGTTGATGAGTCTCTCCCTCCCAACTTCAAGACGCACTTCACTCGGGCAAAGGCAGCAAGTGTCCAGCGCCTGTTTCAGTCTCTGAGATCTGTCAGGCTGCAGCTTGAAGCAACCCACTGACTTTTGTTTAAATATTATATCCCTGACATGGCAGCCAGATCCCAACTTTGGGAGAGGAGTGCTTCAATTACTGTTTGACTGATACAACAAGGAGTCGGGTGGCACCTTAAAGACTAGCAGATTTATTTGGGCATAAGCTTTCTTGGGTAAAAACCTCACTTCTTCAGATGCATAGAGTGACTATGTCTGTAGATACAGACTAACACGGCTACCCCCTGATGTTTGACTGATGCAGCTGAAACTTCTCACTCCTACCGTCCAGAGAGGTTACTGCTTGCCAGTCATCTACAGCGGGATCCATGCTGACACATAGTCACAGGAGAAAGAATGATTATTTACCCAACAGTAACAGTGGTTCTTTGAGATGCCTTCAATGTGGATGCCATGACCTGCCCTCCATCCCTTCTTTTTGGAGTCCCTGGCTAATACGAGCTTTGAATTGTGAGGGAACTGAGGGAGGGTTGCAGTTGCCCCAACCTTTGGGTCCTTGTATGGGTGCACAAGAAAGCACAGAGTGCAGGCACAACACTGATGGACACAGCTAGTCAAAAAACTCCGCTATCCCATGCATGAGACACATGCCCACCTACAGTGAGATCTACACTGACTACAACATCTTGAAGAGCCACAGTTACTGTGGGGTAAGTAGCCATTCCTTATCAAGTAGATCTCCATACATGACATCAAGAAAGGGCATATAGATTCATACTCAGGACTTCAGGTTCCACAATTTCCTGCAGGCTAAATGTAGTGAGCTTAATTAGTGACAATTGGTTCACACTTTATATTGCGGGTACATTTATAAATATATTTTTGAATTGGAATGTCTGCCATTTGATTGCATAATATAGTGTGGTTAAGAAAACCCTCCATTATTGGAAACACCATTAACTCTTTAGGCCCCCAGTAGAGAGCTTTTCTTTGCAAATAGGAAGCAGGCTCCATTCATGTTCTTTCTTCAGGCAATAAAATATACTGCAATGTTTGTTTGTTAAAAAGGAAAACCAACTTATCTCTGTGACTTTTTGTGGGGCCTCACATATAAACAGCTCTTAGTATTAATATTTTAAAACACACTAGATATGTTTACATCTGGAACGCACAATATGCATCCAGATTCTGCAAATACACGTGAGTAGCAACATTGACCTCAATGGCGCTACTCACATGTATGTTCATAGGACTGAGGCCAGTGTCACAGTGAAGCATTTTCTTCAGTGCCTAGCACAGTCCTGGTCCATGACTAGGCCTCCTAGGTGTTATGGTAAATAATAAATAATAATGATATATAGCTTGTCCACAACTCTGGTGGGCTAAAGAAGGGAAACGTTGAGGGAATCCTCATCTTTATACTTTAAATAGCTTTTCTTTACAGATAAGTGATTGAGAGGGACATTAAACATTGATTCTGTTGTTTTATCTAATTTTAGTATATGGGCAAAGTATATGTATTGAATTACATTTGTTCTGTAGGTATGAATCTCCTTAGCTTTTATATTTCGTATGCAAGTACACCTCTAGCCCGATATAACGCGACCCGATATAACACGAATTCTGATATAACGCGGTAAAGCAGCGCTCCGGGGGGGCAGGGCTGCGCACTCCAGCGGTTCAAAGCAAGTTCGATATAACGCGGTTTCACCTATAACGTGGTAAGATTTTTTGACTTCCGAGGACAGCGTTATATCGGGGTACAGGTGTATTTAGAAGACCAATTTTTGTACATAATCACAATTTATTTACTAGGTGATATTTATCCATGATGTTTCTTCCACTTACCGAGTGCCAATCCTGTTGGAAGAACAAGGCATTATTACATATTTTAAACAGAGATTAAACCTACCTATTGATGACCAACCAAGTGATCTTCTTTTCAAATGGAAGAAAATGGCAGACAGGTATTGTAACTCCTATTATGTTTTCTCAAAGTTTTTAAATCATCATGAATATAAGACTCTGGGTCAGGTCCTCAGTTGGCATAAAGTGATATAGTTCCACTGTAGTCAGTGTAACGACGCTGACTTATGCCTGCGGAGGCTCTGGCCTTCTGTGTTTAAAAATGTGTATTTTTTTTTAAAATGGGGTATTTTATGATCTTATTTTTAGAAAAGAAACATTTGTTAGAATTAGAGCTGTCGAGCAATTAAAAAATTAATCACGATTCGCACTGTTAAACAATAATAGAATACCATTTATTTAAATATTTTGGATGCTTTCTACATTTTCAAATATATTGATTTCAATTACAACACAGAATACAAAGTATACAGTGCTCACTTTATATTTATATTTGATTACAAATATTTGCATTGTAAAAAAACAAAAGAAATAGTATTTTTCAGTTCACCTAATACAAGTACTGTAGTGCAATCTCTTTATCATGAAAGTTGAACTTACAAATGTAGAATCATGTAAAAAAAAACCTGCATTCAAAAATAAAACAACGTAAAACTTTGCATGTCCTGCAAGTACAATCAGTCCTACTTCTTGTTCAGCCAATCGCTCAGATAAACAAGTTTGTTTACATTTGCAGGAGATAATGCTGCCCGCTTCTTGTTTACAATGTCACCTGAAAGTGAGAACGGGCGTTCTCATGGCACTGCTGTAGCCGGCTTTGCAAGATATTTATATGCCAGATGCGCTAAAGATTCATATATCCCTTCATGCTTCAACCACCATTCAGGGGACATGCATCCATGCTGATGATGGGTTCTGTTAGATAACAATACAAAGCACTGAGGACCGACGCATGTTCCTTTTCATCATCTGAGTCAGATGCCACCAGCAGAAGGCTGATTTTCTTTTTTGGTGGTTCAGGTTCTGTAGTTTCTGCATCAGAGTGTTGCTCTTCTAAGACTTCTGACAGCATGCTCCACACCTCATCCCTTTCAGATTCTTAAACCTTGAGTCGAGTGCTGTAGCTACCTTTAGAAATCTCACATTGGTACCTTCCTTGCGTTTTGTCAAATCTGCAGTGAAAGTGTTCTTAAAACAAACAACATGTGCTGGGTCATCATCTGAGACTATTGTAACATGAAATATATGGCAGAATGCGGATAAAACACAGGCCAAGAGACATACAATTCTCCCCAAAGGAGTTCAGCCACAAATTTAATTAATTCCTTTTTTTTTTAACGAGCATCATCAGCATGGAAGCATGTCCTCTGGAATGGTGGTGGAAGCATGAAGGGGCATACGAATGTTTAGCATATCTGGCACGTAAATACCTTGCAATGCTGGCTACAAAAGTGCCGTGCAAATGCCCGTTCTCACTTTTAGGTGACATTGTAAATAAGAAGAGGGCAGCATTATCTCCTGTAAATGTAAACAAACTTGTTTGTCTTTATGATTGGCTGAACAAGAAGTAGGACTGAGTGGACTTGTAGGTTCTAAAGTTTTACATTGTTTTGTTTTTGAGTGCAGTTATGTAACAAAAAAAATCTACATTTGTAAGTTGCACTTTCACGACAAAGAGATTGCACTACTTTATGAGGTGAATTGAAAAATACTATTTCTTTTATCATTTTTACAGTTCAGATATTTGTAATAAAAAATAATATACACTTTGATTTCAATTACAACACAGAATACAATATATATTACTCCTGATGGCATTCTGCACCAAAAAATTAAAAATTCTGCGCCCAATATTTTAAAATTCTGCAAAATTCTGCAAATTTTATTTATCAAATAAGTGTGGAGGCTCCAGCATGGCACTGGGGAGCACAGGTCACTGGCTGCACAGAGGGGGAGATCACTGTGCAGCTCCCCCGTCCCGGAACTCAGACTCAGTGGTGAGTCTGCACCCAACCCTGACACAGCGCAAGGACCGGGCCTGCCCCAGAGACACCTCAGAGCCCTGCCCCTCCGTGCCAGGTGTACCAGGTGTGGAAAGGCAGGCTCAGCAAGACAGGATCCAATCGTGGAGAGGCTTAGTGGGGGGGGATCCAGGTGTGGGTTGAGAGGTTCTGCGTGGGGCAATCTGAGTGCGGGCGGCTCAGTGGGGGATCTGGGTGCGAGGGGGGGATCTGGATGCACAGGGACTTGTTGGGGGGTTCTGGGTACAACGGTAATGGGACTCTGCAGCGGGATCCCGGTGAAGGTGGTTGGGGCTCAGTGGGGGGTCTGAGTGTGGGTGGGGATAGAGCTCAGCAGGGGGGTCTGGGCGGGGCTTGGTAGGTGGGGATCTGGATGCGTGTTGCTCATTGGGGTGGTGCAGGGGGAGTGGGGCTCGTCGGGGGGCTTCTGGGTGCAGAGGGGATGAGGCTCGGCAGGAGCTTCTGGGTATGAGGGGGTCTGGATGCATGGGGGGTTGTATGGATGGGGGAGCAGCTCCCTGCACAACGATCCCTTCCCCTGCAGCTGAGGAACGATGGGTGCAGGAAGTGCTGGGAGTGGGGGGTGGGGTGGGACTTTGCAGAGCTTCCTATAGCCGGGGGAGAAATCTGGGAGTCGGTCTGACCCAGCCCCGGTTGCCATGTAGCGGAAGAGGAAGTCCCGTCCTCCCCAGCCCAGCCAGGACTAGTAGCTGAGCCCAGTGCAGGGTAGGAGCCACCTGCCACATCTTCCCCAGTCCCACTCCTACCCCACAGTGATTTACCTGTCTGCTGGCTATCCTGGGCACTCAAAACATATTGCTGGGAAGGGTCGCATGACCGCTTTTGTGGCTTCCCTTTACTTCCCTGTCAGAAAGTTATTTTTCTGTAAGGAAACAAAGAAATCTGCAGGGGACATAAATTCTGCACATGCGCAGTGGCGCATAATTCCCCCAGGAGTAAGATATGAAAATGTAGAAAAACATTCAAAATATTTAATAAATTTCAATTGTTATTCTATTGTTTCACTGTGTGATAAAAACTGTGATTAATCTCGATTAATTTTTTTAATCACAATTAATTTTTTTAAGTTAATCGCATGAGTTAACTGCGATTAATCAACAGCCTTAGTTAGAATGCATAATATGAGCATAATAATTAGAAACCTTGCTTTTGTCAGATATGAAAGGTTGCAGAAGATGTGCTCCATAGCTCTGGTTGGCAAGTATACGAAACTAAGTGACTGCTACGCATCTGTTTTCAAGGCCTTGGAACATTCAGCTTTGGCAATTAATCACAAACTGAATTTAATGGTGAGGATCAATCTCTCTCAGTTTCAGGAATGTTTTAACATGTAATGGTTAGCTTCCATCGCTTAGGCAAATGTAATATTAAGGTGTACCTTAATTGGGACTTATATATACAGGTGTACACAAAATGACTGGATATGGTTTTTTAAGGAGTATGAGAGATTTCATTTTTATTTTATTTTAGACTACATGTATCTGAAAGGGACACTGCAATAAAGGCCCCTAATTGGATTTGCATTGCTGGCACATGATGGCATATATCACATTGGTAGATGTGCAGGTGAACGAGCCCCTGATGGTGTGGCTGATGTGGTTGTACCTTGAATAGATATGTGGACAGAGTTGGCAACGGGGTTTGTTGAAGGGATTGGTTCCTGGGTTAGTGTTTTTGTTGTGTGGTGTGTAGTTGCTGGTGAGTATTTGCTTCAGGTTGGGGGGCTGTCTAAGTGAGGACTGGCCTGTCTCCCAAGGTCTGTGAGAGTGAGGGAATGACTCTCAACTGAGTCTAATTAGTTCTGTCCTTAAACACTGGAGTAGGGAAGATCAAATGGTTTCTAGAACTCTTTAGATAGAGTCCAAATCCTTTCTCTTCTTCACTGGGATTTGTCACCCCATCCCCTACTTAGTGAGTGAGGTTCAGTTTAGGGTGACCCCTCAGTCAGGGCAGGCTAAGCACAGTTCTGCTATCCTTTACTCATACAGTAAGGACAGCAACATTTCATTACCATTATTGTGGCTGAGAGAGGTGCTCATCTACTATAGTTATGGGTTAAATAGAAATACATAGCTGGATAGATAGAACTTGCCTATATTGTTATTGTCCCTAGACAATTTGTTCTTAGAATTTAATATCTGTATATTGACTATTGCAGATGTATAATCCTTTTTTTTTTTAAACTTTGGTGAATTTTTTCTTCAACAAACCAAATTTTGGAAGAAAAACGGCTTGTGCATCTGCAGTACCCAGTTTACAGATATTAAATTCACCCCTCTAATTTAAAAAAAAAAAGCATATCTATAGGGGCCTAATCTTTGTAATGGACCACATGCCAATGCTCATTTGAAAACACAGCTGTTTTTGAGCTGCAGAATTACGAAATAGCATCCCAAACAGGTAAACATTTTTTGCACTTACTATTTAAATGACCACAAATTGATTTTCTTGGAAATTTGCACTTTGTTGGAAGCCTGATAAGTGACATGTCTGTCAGGAGCAAATTGAACAGCAGAGCTAAACATTTGGAGTAAAGCAGGATGATAATAGTGATGCTAGAAGATTTTATCTAATCTCATCCATCTATCTTCTGATGTGACATCTTCACCATGATATTAAAGCATCTTTCCAATAGTAAATAACAATAGTAGATGTCACTATATAACAACCTCCACCTCTTAAAATAAGTCTGCATTCCGCATTGAGTTCCCCATTTCAGGTAGATCCCTCCACTCTTTTCAGGAAGAATTCCCCCTCTCACCAGGTTCCATAGATTTTAAGCCCAGAAGGGACCACTGTGATCATCTAGTTTGACCTTCTGTATAAAACAGGCCCTAGGACTTCCCTGAATTAGTTCCTGTTTAAACGAGAGCATCTCTTAGAAAAACTTCCAATCTTGATTTTAAAATTGCCTGTGATGGAGAATCCATCACAACCCTTGGCAAATTATTTCAATGGTTAATTACCCTCCTATTAAAAATGTACACCTTATTTCTTGTCTGAATTTGTCTAGCTTCAGATTCCAGCCATTGGATCTTATTATAATCTTGTCTGCTAGTTGAAGAGCCCTCTGTCAAATTTCTGTTCCTCATGTAGGTACTTAAACTGTTATCAAGTCACCCAGAGGCGATCCCGGCAATTACAGGCCGGTAAACCTAACTTCAGTACCAGGTAAACCGGTTGAAACTATAGTAAAGAACAGAATTATCAGACACACAAATGAATATGATTTGTTGGGGAAGAGTCAACATGGTTTTTGTAAAGGGAAATCGTTCCTCACCAACCTACTAGAATTCTTTGAGGGGGTCAACAAGCATGTGGACAAAGGGGATCCAGTGGATATAGTGTACTTAGATTTTCAGAAAGCCTTTGACAAGGTCCCTCACCAAAGGCTCTTAAGCAAAGTAAGCTGTCATGGGCTAAGAGGGAAAGTCCCCCCATGGATCTGTAACTGGTTAAAAGATAGGAAACATAGGGTAGGAATAAATGGTCAGTTTTCAGAATGGAGAGAGGTAAATAGTGGTGTCCCCCAGGGGGTCTGTACTGGGACCAGTCCTATTCAACATATTCATAAATGATCTGGAAAAAGGGGTAAGTAGTGAGGTGGCAAAATTTTCAGATGATACAAAACTACTCAAGATAGTTAAGTCCCAGGCAGACTGCAAAGAGTTACAAAGGGATCTCACAAAACTGGGTGATTGGACAACAAAATGGCAGATGAAATTCAATGCTGATAAATGCAAGGTAGTGCACATTGGAAAACATAATCTCAACTATACATATAAAATGATGGGGTCTAAATTAGCGGTTACCACTCAAGAAAGCGATCTTGGAGTCATTGTGGATAGTTCTCTGAAAACATCCACTCAATATGCAGTGGCAGTCAAAAAAATGAACAGAATGTTGGGAATCATTAGGAAAGGGATAGATAAGACAGAAAATATCATATTGCCTGTGTATAAATTCATGGTACACCCACATTTTGAATACTGTGTGCAGATGTGGTCATTCCATCTCAAAAAAGATATATTGGAATTGGAAAACATACAGAAAAGGGCAACAAAAATGATTAGGGGTATGGAACAGCTTTTATATGAGGAGAGATTAATAAGACTGGGACTTTTCAGCTTGGAAAAGAGGCCACTAAGGGTGGATATGATAGAGGTCTATAAAATCATGACTGGTGTGGAGAAAGTAAATAAGGAAATGTTATTTACTCCTTCTCATAACACAAGCACTAGGGGTCACCACAAGAAATTAATCGGCAGCAGGTTTAAAAAGGAAGTATTTCTTCACACAACACATAGTCAACCTGTGGAACTCTTTGTCAGAGGATGTTGTGAAGGCTAAAAGTATAACAGGGTTCAAAAAAGAACTGGATAAATTCATGGAGGATAGGTCCATCAATGGCTATTAACCAGGATGGGCAGGGATGGTGTCCCTAACCTCTGTAATTGCCAGAGCTGGGAATGGGCGACAGGGGGACGGATCACTTGATAATTATCTGGTCCATTCCCTCTGGGGCACCTGGCATTGGCCATTGTCAGAAGACAGGATACTGGGCCAAGTGGACCTTTGGTTTGACTCAGTATGGCAGTTCTTATGTTCTTAATCTTCTCCTTGCTAAGGTAAATAAATTGAGCTCCTTAAGTCTATCACTATAAGGCACATCCCCGCCTTCCCAGAACATTGTCCACCTTTCTCCTCACAACAGGCAGGACACCACTCTTAAATACTGATAATAACAATGCCCAGTTCTTTTCATCAGTAGATCTCAGAGTGTTTGACAAAGAAGGTCAGTATCATCACCACCATTTTACAGACAGGGAAACCGAGGCACAGAGAGGTGAAATCACCCTAGGTCACCCAGCAGACTAATAGTAGAGCCAGGAATAGAACCTATGTTTTCTGAGCCCCAGTCCAGTGCTCTGTCCAATAGGCTATGCTGACACATTCCAATTTCTGGCACCTATTTCGGTACAATAAAAGTAGGGATTATGATGTAGTCTCTTCAAAGAGAAGGTGATCAGCAGATCTATCAGGAATAAGAAAACCCTTTTTTTTAAATTGTTCCCAGCCAGGCAAAATACAGGCCATCTACCACCTATTAGAACCAAGAACAGAACCCTGAACTCCGGACTTTAACTGCTTTAGCTCCCACACAGTGTTTTCCAAGGATACCCAGCATAATCAAACCAGCTGTTTTAGTACAAGAAGCCAGTAACTACTCTCGGTCAAAATTATAAGTAGGGCACTGTAATTTGCCTGAGATCTACATCTGTTTGTTATTTGCCCATCAGTGCCATTCCTTGGGTACGTCTTCACTACCCGCCGGATCGGCGGGTAGTGATCGATCTATTGGGGATCAATTTATCGTGTGTAGTGTAGACACGATAAATCGATCCCCGATCGCTGTCCCGTCGACTGCTGAACTCCAGCTCGGTGAGAGGCGGAAACAAAGTCGACTGGGGAGCCGCGGGGCACACCCCGAGGATGCAAAGTAAGTAATTTTAATTTGATCTAAGATACGTCGACTTCAGCTCCGCTATTCAAGTAGCTGAAGTTGTGTCTCTTAGATCGATCCCCCCCCAGTGCAGACCAGGCCTTAGTCTTGCTGCTGCTTTGGAACCCCTTCTGGAATATGCGTATGTGAATTACACAGTAGGGGGCATCAGAGCAATTGCACCATAAAGACCCTTCCTCTGGGAAGAGCGGTAAATTGACAAGGAATGGTAGATGGCATTAGGATTGAGGTACATTAATTGATATACTCTGCCTTTATTTTCTCATGTTATTGAGTGGAGCACTACCCCAATAGTGGAGGCTCCAGTGACTTGGTCATATCTGACAGCAGTTGCCTTAAGACACCTCCCTGCTACTCCGCTCTTCAAATTAATTCAGGAGAGGCTGAGCAAGCAGCCTTAGTGAGAGATAACATTCTGATAGACACCATAGAGATAAGAAATTCCATCTCTGAAGCAGACTGCACAGCTTGCTCTACTTTGGTTCCAGAGTTTTGCTGCAACAATGCAAGAATCATTTATCATTATTTAAGTATTATCATCGTCATGCCAGATACAGCTTTGCTCCCCAAGTTGTTTTTCTTCCTGGAAAGTTCTTCAGACTCTTTGTGGGCACTTGCTGTTCAGTTGCTGTAGGCACTATCCCTTCTGCCAAAACACCCTGAAAACGACGTGGCAAATAATGTTGGAGCCCCTTACTAACTATGAAAGCACTGTCTGCTCAGTGATAGGTAAAATCTGAGACGCGAGTGAGTCTGTATAAATAATTTATCTCCCAGTTGAGACACTGAGATTTGAATCCTATTTCATTTGCATCGAGAGAAATCCTCCTCCCCCATGTAAAGAGCCAGTGCAAGGCCTACACACCATTTAAGTCCCACTTAATTCCTATTTTGATGGTTTAATTGGTGCTCAAAATCTTGTACTGGCTTCCTGCATAGGGGTGAATTGTATTTATCTATTATTTAAACAAGCCCTATTCACCTTCAACAAAGATGACCAAGGCCCCAATCCTTCCAAACACGTTTAACTTTATATGCACAAAGAGGCTTACGGAGGTTCAGTGGAGCTACTTGCATGTATAAAGTTAAGCATGCATGTAGGTAGGTCAAAGCATGCATGTAGGTTGCACAAGGTAGGCCAAAATCAGTGACAAAGCTTCCCCAGAGCCAATTCCACTTTCAGAGCTCTTGCGAAACACCTGTGTTCCAGCCTTTTTGCCAGCAGCTCCTCAGTCTAATCCTGTGTTCTGAAGCAGTTCTTTAATGTAACATAGTGATACCTAATTTATAATACATCATTTGCATATTTGAATGATGAAACCTATAATGTTCAAATACCACCTCTACCCCGATATAACGCGACCCGATATAACACGAATTCGGGTATAATGCGGTAAAGCAGTGCTTCGTGGGGGCGGGGATGCGCACTCCGGTGGATCAAAGCAAGTTCGATATAACGCGGTAAGATTTTTTTGGCCCCCGAGGACAGCGTTATATCAAGGTAGAGGTGTAGTTATAAATTGCTGACTTGGTGTATTTGACAGTGAAAGCAGAACTAATTTTAAATGTACCATTAGCTAGCTTCTCTTTTCAACCATGTAAAACAATAAAACGTACTATTTGTGCATAATAAAAATATGCAGTTATATTCGCTATTGTATCTTTTGGAAAAGAAGAAAATGTTGGATAGAAGGTAATTCTCACACCTCAAAACTACCAGTCAAACAAACCTCAAACAATCTTGTCATTCACCAGTGGTATGTTTTTTCATAGATAAAGAGAAAACGTGTAATTTCAGAGTGGGTGATTTTTATTTTAGATTAAAGAAAATAGCAAAGAACAAACAAACATTATGGGCCAGATCCTCAGATGGTGTAAATTGGTGTATTATTTATTATTTATATAAATAATTGAAATTGGGACCCCCCCACTGTGCTAGGCACTATATATACATACAGAATAGACAATCTTTGCCCTGAAGAATTTAAATATAATTTTTTATGGAGGGAGAATAGAGACACAGATTAGGTGATTTGCCCAAGGTCACAGAAGAAGTCTGTGGCAGAGCCAGGAACTGAACCAAGCTCTTTTGAGTCCCAGTCCAATGCCATAACTGCCCCACTATCTTCTTTTCTCTTTCGACTTCAGTGGAGCCACATTCATTTACATCAGCTGAGTATCTGGTCCAGAATATGTGTGTGACTCAATCTGGAATAGTTGCTATCTTGAACTAATTCAGAGGGAGGAAAGTACATAGAAGAGAGACTTACAGTTATAAAGCGAAACACTCCATAATGATAGATGTAGCCCTACAAAGAATTCCTTATGGGCTGACCTCTGCACCTAAACAGAGGTCCAGGAGTGCTGGAATAATTTTTATATGGGGGTGCAGATGATGGAAACCATGTATTTGGTGTTTGTTGTTACTACTTCAAGCCTGGTGGTGCGACAGCACCCCTCGTTCCAGCATCACTGCAGGGGTCCTTGCAGGATTGGATCTTTAGCTACTATTTTTTATGTGCAGATTTATTGTGAGAATCATTGAAAAGTCCTGCAGGCTGTTTTTATGCTATAAATATTTGTTGTACAGTATAGCATTATATTGCTTTTTCTGTGGAATGAAATACTGTTTTGTCATATATTTTTCTTTCTTAGTATATAGATTCAATAGAGCTTGAGCATTCTACAGAAGTTGAGAACCCAGTGAAATACCACCAGGCGTGGCAAAAATTATGCAAAGCAGAGTAGGTGCCATCAAGTATTCTGTATACAAAGTAGAAGAGTTTAATGATTTGTTGTTTTGTTTAATATAAATATTTTCCTAACTGATTTTTCCAGTGTCTCGTATAATTTCAATATCCAATAGCATCTTATCTTTCTTCTCATTAACTCAGTACTTTGCAATGTAAAAGCCATTGTGGAAAAGATTTTAGATTTTAAGTAAAAATATTACACTAATTCTAAAGTGCATCTCAAATGGCAAATCATATATTACTAAAAAGATTTTGAACCATTCACTATATCAGGTAGACTTGTTTAGGAATTTGGTTTTCTTGCTGACAGGAAGAAATAGCTTCATGATGGTTTGTGACAAGAATGATTTATACTGAAGGAAATAGCAAGTTAAAAAATATTGGGCCAGAACTTCAACCTCTGTTCTGGCCTCTTTGGGTGGGATTTTTAAATGTGCCTGCATGCTTAGGTACATTTGAAGAGTTAGGCATTTTCAAAAATTCTACCCTTTCTGATGTGACTAAAGGATCATTGTCATCAAACATCATAGTAAAAAGTGAGTAAGTAAATGTTGTGCCTGGGCTCCTAAATATTCATGACATTTTTGTAAGGCTGTTTTTATAAGCATCAATCCACTTTGCAAAATTATTAAACTGTGAGTGGCCCCATTGAAATCAATAGAAGTTTTGCGATTGATGTCACTGGGAACAGCAATTCACCCTGTATAATTAAAGGGAACATTTTACTTCATCCACTACCAAAAGGCATCTCTTTAGTATTATTCAGCAGCTATTGTAAAGGCACCAGAAATACAACCCAAAAAGTTTAGGGTGAAGGAGTGAAGAAGAATTCTGTAGCTTATTAAAGAAATAGGAATTTCACTGGAGAGGATGTAATTACTTTATTTGAATTTGGCTAGAACACTGACGCAGATGTTCCAAAACTTGAAATAAGTCCAATGGATTTTTCATGTTGATGAGGTACATTTCTCATTAAAGATCACCCAGAATTGGCACCTTGGATTATACAAAATGTGGTGCCCCTTAACACCACATTTATTTAATTTTAACCTGACAAGACTATCCTTTAAGTGACACACGAAGACTTCCTTTTTTTGTCTTATTTTACATCCCAATCATTTTATGTATGGATTTTATTACAGTGGCATTTTGGTCCCAGGCGGGTTTGGATTTAGGGGAACAGAAGGCAAACTCCAAGCAATATCTTGGGCAAGAAAAAAGAAAAAACCTTTTCTTGGTAAGATCTTTCAACTAAGGAAATATTACTGGGTGTTGAAGATATATAGAGAGAGGTGGTTAATTTTTATAAAACTAAAGTAGGTGTTAAAATAGGATCTAAAATCTACCTGGCAAAGTTGCCTGGGCCTCATTAAAATGTAAGTGGTTTCTGACTCGAGTCAGCATTCAAGTTCTATGTTAGAGGTGCTGACTCTATTATTTGTTGTTTGTTTTGCGATATCACCTAAGAGCCCCAGTCACGGACCAGGCCCCCTTTGTGCTAGGCGCTGTATAAACACAGAACAAAAAGACAGTCTCTGCATCAAAGACCTTAGAATCACCTTAGTTAGTTCATAGATTTTACATTTGATTTGGAGTATCTTTTTTAAGAGTAATAAATCAGCAACGTTATAATTTTAGCTTAATATAGCCCAAGAAAATATCCCTTTCAACATGTTTGTTATGTCTGATCATTTTTGTATTGCTATTACTTTTAATTACGTATTTCTATGATAGTAGTGTCCAGTTAGGATCTCGGCCAGGTGCTATGCAGACACATAAGAAGATGTGGTCCTTGCTTTGAGTTGCTTAGAATCTAAGGCTACGTCTTCACTGGGGGGGGGGGGGGAAATCGATTTAAGATACGCAAATTCAACTACGCGAATAGTGTAGCTGAATTTGACGTATCCGAGTCTACTTACCCCGCTGTGAGGACAGCGGCAAATCGACCGCCGCGGCTCCCCCGTCGACGGCGCTTACTCCTACCTGTGCTGGTGGAGTACAAGCGTCGATTCAGGGATCGATTATCGCGTCCCGACGAGACGCGATAATTCGATCCCCGAGAGATCGATTTCTACCCGCCGATTCAGGCAGGTAGTGAAGACGTAGCCTTAGATGCATGGTGAATTCTTTGACTAGATACTAGGGATGGGCCTGGCCAAAATCTTGGATCTGAACATACCCAAACTTTCAGCTGTAGCCTATCCCTACTAGGCACATAAAATTTAAAATGAAAAAAGATTATTTAGTAGGACTCTAAGGACATCGTTATTCTGAATAGTCTAGAGTGACCTTTACATTTCTTGCCCACAATTAGTCAACCAGTCTTCAGGATTCCCAGAATGTATGGGTTTGTACATACAAACTGGGTAGCCAGAAATCAAAACTGTGGGTATTCTGAAGGCCGAATTGAGGCTACTTTGCAAATTCTACTTTTTATTGTGTGAAACTCTGTTCTCTTCTCTTCTTTGCAGGAGTTTGCTTGGGGATGCAGCTGGCAGTGGTGGAGTTTGCAAGAAACTGTTTAAACTGGAAAGGTGATTTCAGTATCCTAGTATGGATTTGGTTCACTTAGAAGAAAGCTTATTCTTTATATGAACTTTATATTATTCAGATCATAGTATTATGTGTTTAGATCAATGTGAGCAAATTCTAAGAGCTCGATTGCGAATTGGACTACATGCCTATGTAAGGGAGTAAGAACTCCCTTTCTACCCCTGTGCAGGCTACTCAGATCTTGGTTTCAGAAGCATAGGAATACACTGGGCAGCTCACCTCTATATTCTGTCCCTCAAGCAGGTGGGTAGGTAGTGGTGAGGAATGGGAGGAGCATTGGCTCCACCCCACTACTCATTGAGGAGAGTAGCCAAATAAGTGCAGGGTGGGTAGTAATTTAGTGCTGGCTTAGGCCAGCAGCAAATTGTTACCCTCAGGAACAAGTAGGTATCAGGGGAGGAAGTGTGACTCTGATGAGTCTCTATGAGTATGTCGGCACTTCAAGCTAGGGGTGTAATTCCCAGCTCGCGAAGACTCAGCTCTGATCTAGCTGGCACACTAAAAATAGAGTGTAGTTGCAGCTAGCTCAATCAGAGCTAGCACAGATATGTTTCCTTGAGTTGGGAATCACACTCCCTTCTTGATGTGTAGACTTACCCTGAGGCATTGTGTTTCCTGAGGCTGCTCCTGGGGTGTTGTACGTTACACACACGCCTTTACAAGGCTGTGCCTAAGGGCACAGTATAGCCCTACACGCCAACAAAGCTGATGATCTAGGACAATGAAAACGTATGGTGGTTATTCTGAATTTTTTGTGTTCCAGATGCAAATTCTACAGAATTTGACCCAAACACAAAATACCCTGTTGTAAGTACTGATTTGTCTCTTTGGTGTGTTTTCTTAATACCCCTTTTTTGCCTTGGTTAGATGACAGGCTATGTATCTTTTTCATGTGTTGTGACATGAAGAGATGTCTGCTGTCCATATTTAGCATATTTATTGTTTAAATAGGAACTCAGCACTATAATGAAGATGTAAGAGTAATGAAGATCTAATGCTGATTTTTATATCAGAGTAATTTGCATGGCCACAGATTGATATAAGCAGAGGATAAGGATTATAACGTAGTTATTGTAGAGTGAAACATAACAAGAAGCTATAAGGTAGGAAAGATCTTAGCCTGAGTCAGCTGGCACAGGCCGACTGCAGGTGTCTTATTGGAGTGTAGACATACCCTTAGTGCTATCGGAGAGAGATCTGGAGAATTGAAAAGAAGAGCCCAGTGTGCATGGGTGACAGTGAAAAAGATAGGAGTACTGTAGGACCTCACTTAAGTAACAAACTGAAAGGAAAAGTATATGCTGCATGTGTTTTTCCCTGCCTGCTCTGTGGTTTAGAAATGGTCGGGTCTTTTGCATATGGAAGAAAAAAGATTTTCTATGATTCTAAGATACAGGTAGTAGCACGTAATATATTAAGAATGGCAGGCAAATGGAGGGCAGACAGAGTGTGCATGGAAGAAATTAGGGGGAAGATGAACATGGGACTCTCAGTAATAAATAGGCTGGAGAGTGCACATTTGAAGTAGGTGGACAAGTGATACGAATGGGAGAAGAATGATTTACAAAGAAAGCATGGGAGGAAGAGTTCAGCAAGAAAGGATGTGGAAGACAGAAGATACGATGGAGAGACTGTTAAGAGAAGATTGAAGAGAAAAGGACTGGAACTCCAAGACTTATGAACCCCTGGCATGGACCTGAAGGAGCGAAGACTTGTGGGCACCTCTGACTCCATACAAAAGGGAAAAGGTGTTGAGAAGTGAATTGAAGCTCATATCTATGACAACATATTGCTGTTGTACAGAAATATCATGAATCATTGGGTGATCTGCAGCATTTTGATTGGATTAAAGGAGAAGCAAGACATTCATTCAAGTACAATTTATATGGAGAAAATAATGGAATAAGTGTAAAATCTGAAAGTCACAAAAGATTAATGTAATGAATGGAGTTTAAACAGTTTGTGTGTGATGTGCATGACAGCTACTCTGCAAAGCATGTTTCTGAATCTTAATCTGTATAGCGGGAATGCTGATATTTCACAGCTGAACTCTGAGTGAGGCAAAGCGAACCTTCAGTTGTTTCAACTGGACATCTTACCATATTAATACCTGTAACCGTAAAGGCTTCAGTTTAGCAAAGCCTGCATTGTATTAAAATATTTGGATATTGTTTATAGTAATGTACAGAAATAATTTATGGGGGATCAGGTTAGTGAGGTTTGTGAATTATTGAGGCCATAGAGATGATTTCATGCACCGTGAGAGCTGATGAGGGAACACTGTGTCACTCCCATGGTAGCACCCTCAGCAACTCAGTAAGGCTTACTTACTGTACTCCTCTTCTTGTGTTGGCTACTCCTCCTCTGGAAGTTGCTCCTGGAGAATGGGGGTGGAGAAACACTGGTCCAGTAACAGTTGTGTTTTGCTTGTTTTTTTTTTTAATAAAAAATTAGAACCATGTGATTGCTGAACCATGCCAATAGGCAAGGATTCTCAGGGGCAGGTGTAGAACTTGGAATTTCTTGTAACTCTTTTTAAATTTACTACCTGTAGTATTGCCCACCTCAAGTGTTCAAAAATCATGAGCTGAACCCCAGAAATCATGAGATTGGCTTAACACTCATGAGATTCTTAAAAATAATTAATAAATGTTGAGTTCTTTTTATTTGGCTTCTGAGATTTGAGCTTGTAACACCAACACCTGAGACCAACACCTACAAGATCTTCACCAAGCATTCTCAAAACTATGATATCCACACAAGGAAATAAGGAAACAAATCAACAGAGCCAGACATGTACCCAGAAGCCTCCTGCTACAAGACAAGCCCAAGAAAGAAACCAACAGAACTCCACTGGCCATCACCTACAGTCCTCAGCTTAAACCTCTCCAACGCATCATCAGTGATCTACAACCCATCCTGGACAATGATCCCTCGCTTTCACAGACCTCGGGAGGCAGGCCAGTCCTCGCCCACAGACAACCCGCCAACCTTAAGCATATTTTCAACAGCAACCACACACCGCACCATAACTACTTTAACTCAGGAACCAATCCATGCAACAAACCTCGATGCCAACTCTGCCCACATATCTACACCAGCAACACCATCACAGGACCTAACCAGATCAGCTACAACATCACCGGTTCATTCACCTGCACGTCCACCAATGTTATATATGCCATCATGTGCCAGCAATGCCCCTCTGCTATGTACGTTGGCCAAACTGGACAGTCACTACGTAAAAGGATAAATGGACACAAGTCAGATATCAGGAATGGCAATATACAAAACCTGTAGGAGAACACTTCAACCTCCCTGGCCACACAATAGCAGATGTAAAGGTAGCCATCTTACAGCAAAAAAACTTCAGGACCAGACTCCAAAGAGAAACTGCTGAGCTTCAGTTCATTTGCAAATTTGACACCATCAGATCAGGATTAAACAAAGACTGTGAATGGCTAGCCAACTACAGAAGCAGTTTCTCCTCCCTTGGTGTTCACACTTCAACTGCTAGCAGAGGATCTCACCCTCCCTGATTGAACTAACCTCGTTATCTCCAGACTGATTTTTGCCTGCATATTTATACCTGCCTCTGGAAATTTCCATTACATGCATCTGACGAAGTGGGTATTCACCCACGAAAGCTTATGCTCCAATACATCTGTTAGTCTTAAAGGTGCCACAGGACTCTGTTGCTTATTAATTGAGTGTGTCCTTGCAACTATAATGGCCCAAGTGATATTACTGAAATAGAATGCACAGAAACTGTTTTGATCAAAAGTTTTTAGCACTGTGAAGATTTTCTTTTTGAGATTTTTGCTTTTAATTCTAAAGTTGTTGAAGAGGTAAATGTTGTGACTTGATTTGTGTGAAGAGTAACTAATGCATACTTAAGCTATAAGGGAGTTTCCTACTGTGGTGTTGATCTATATCAGTCCAACTATTATTCATCTATTTCATCTTGTTCCATGGTTCAGAGTGATTACAAAAGCATTACTTGGCATTGATCCTGCCGACACACCCAGGAGTAACTTTATGCACACGAGTACTCCTGCTGAGCTCCATGGGTAGTCAGAGGGGCTACACGCAGGAGTTAAGCTAATCTGTAGGTGTTGCAGGACTGGAACCATAGTGTGCAGTTGATATTTCAGTGCTGAGAAACCATTTGATAGTTTCTGCATACAAAACACTGATTTTATGAGTTTTTTTAGTGACTTGCACATTGTAAAGTTTAACTACAAAATTTGTTTTAAACAAAATCGTACCATTTTTCCTTCCCACATGGTGAAAAGCATTATAAAATGTGTCTAGGGGATTTAAATTAAAGTGGACATGTCTGAGTTTCCTGTTACAATTATTAGCATTTATGTATTTATCCATTCTTGCTTTAGCACTAGAAATAGTCTTGAACTAAAAACTTTTATATGAATGTCACAAAATAATAATTAATAGTTCTTTTAATCTGTAAAACTCCAAGCACTTTGCATAGATGGGTAAGTTTCATCTATAGATGGGGGAAGAAGTAGCACAGAGAGGTGAAGTAACTTGCTCAAGGTTACCCAGTTCATCAGTGGCAGAACCGGGCATAGAACCCAGCTCTCCTGACTCCCAGCCCAGTGCTGTATCCATCATATCATGCATGTTAGAATTCCATATCCAGATTTTGCAGCTTGGGCCCAGCTCTGCTTAATATAGATTTGATTTCACAAAGGGAATGTGGGCTAGATGAATGAGGGCTGGTCAGGCCCAGAAACTCATGCTATCTAATTCCAGCTGTGTTGATAACTTGCTGCATGTGTTCCATGGTAAGGCCTTTAATCTTTTTGCCTCTGTTTTCTGATCTGTAAAATTGGAATGATAATACCTACTGACCTTGCCTGGCTGTTGTGAGGATTAATGTAGTTAGTGTTTGTGCAACACTTTGAAAAAGTAATGCGCCAAGTTGTATTACTATTCTGTGGAAAAATTTTATACTCCAAATAATACATTTAGGGACAAAATCTACACTGGTTTCTTTGTACATTCCTTGCAGCCCTTTGCAGTAAATGTGTTTACACAGGGTGTTAGGGCAGAATTTGATCCAAATGGTCAAAGGCGTTTTGTTTTTATTCCCCCTCTTTCCTCACAATATTAAATTAGGTTGTAAACTTTTCTGATGAGCTCTTGCATTGTGGTCTCAGCTTTTATCTGCTGATGCCTCTAATATAACTTTTGTAAAAATGCCTCCTTCAGTACTAGCCTTGAAGATGCTGATTTTATTTTTAAAACTTTATTTTCCATGATATTTCTGATATTACATATGGTATGAAGTGCTCCTGACCTTTTGGAATAAGTAAAATGTAAGCATTTTTTATCACCCTGAGCATTGGGTCAGAAGTGGGCTTTGCGAGTAAGTGACACTTTTATAACACTATTTAATGCTTACTTCCCGTTGCCTGCTTTTTCTATAACTTACAAGAGGTGTTAGTAACACAGTCAAAGTCAGAATTTTCTATTGTATAACAGAGATAAAAAGAAAAGAAATATAGATCCCAGTCCTGCAAACTCTTACACACATAAGTAATTCCGTTTAGTGTAGTGTGATTACTTGCATGCTTAAAGTTGCTCATGTACAGAAGTATTTGCAGGGTTGGGCCCATAGCCAGAATTGAAATAAAAACAAGGTGTATGAAAATACTTTATATTTGGCCAAAAATAGACTACTTGAAAAATAATTTTTCTCCAAGAAACACTAGCTACTTAAGGACTGAAGTGTACACAGTAGTCTATTTTAGGTACCTTATTTTATCTCACAATCTTTAATT